GCTCTTTAGCTTAGAAAAGTGCAGGCTCAGGGGTGATCTGATGGCCACCTATAAGTTTATCAGGGGTGACCACCAGGATCTGGGGGAACGTTTGTTCAGCAGAGCGTCCCAAGGGATGACGAGGTCAAACGGTCATAAACTACTGCAAGACCGTTTCAGGCTGGACATAAGGAAAAATGTCTTTACTGTCCAAGCCCCCAAGGTCTGGAACAGCCTGCCATTGGAGGTGGTTCAAGCACCTACATTGAACACCTTCAAGAGTAAATTGGATGCTTATCTTGCTGGGATCCTATGATCCCAGCTGACTTCCTGCCCTTTGGGTGGAGGGCTGGACTTGATGATCTTTCAAGGTCCTTTCCAGCCCTAATGTCTATGAAAGTCAAAACAGAAGCTGAAGCGAAATGGTGCTGTTTTGCACAGCCCTAGTGCTTATCTGCTTAGCCTATCTGCTTATCTCCTCCAACCTCCCTTATCTGGGGTGGCCATTAGTCCTGCTTTATACTGGACTATCCTGTTTTTAAACTTTGTCCCCTATTCATTTCTCAATGAGGACCATACAGTGAAACATCCTCTTTTTAGTTCGTTTACTGGAAATGTGTGTCAGTCACTTGTTCTTATGATTCTAATGGCTGTGCTTAGAGCTAGAGTGGCATACAATGAGGAGGGGCAGGGTTCCCACCTAGGGAGGGAGGGAGGTGGCCTTCTTGTGGTGGCCCGCTCCCCTTGCTACTGATTGGCCAAGGGCCAGGTCCCTCCCCTCACTGATTGGCTGAGGAAGCAGTGACCCCCACCCCTTATCACTGATTGGCTGAGAGGGGGCCCACCTCTCACCAAGAGGATGTCCTGTATTCTGGGGATGAGTCAGTGACCACCCTACCCTTATCTCCTCATACCTCCAACTATACTTTAAAGGATCTGGCAACACCCCATGGTGCCCTGACACCCTATCTGAATTGCAGAACTAAATCTTTTTAAAAAGCGTGTACTTATTAGTATTTAAAATTACTGCAAATTAACAGGAAACAAAAGTTTAAATTAACAATTAAGACCCAGTTTGTAACTTTAGGAACATTTGGGTACAATAAGCTATACAAATAGCTGAGACTGCCTGTTTGTTTCTTGAGTGATGTCCTGTTAGCCAGCTTTGGATGCAAGAGAAGTACTTTCAGCCAAGAAGGAAAATTTGGGATTATAAATTTGCAATATAATTTTCTAAAACAGGAGTTTTGCTGATACTAGTATACTACAGACCCATTTTTTCCCAGCTCTCTCATCTTTTTTGATTTGGGTTAGGTAAGCTACCCCTGAAGTTTTGTGATTGATTTTTCTCTATCTGTTCTTATACATTCTTGGTAAATGTCAAGTTCATTTTGTTATAATGAAAATTAATTTTAAGAAATTCAGTTTTTTTGAGCCTTAGTATCTTGGAGAGGCCCAGGATTTTTTTAATTTGTTCTAATCCCCTGGCAATTAAATTAGTGGCCAAGCAGTTAAATTTAAAAAGTTTGATATTGTTTGTATCTGCCCGCGAGCTTCAAATGCAGATGTATTGGGAGATTGCATGTTAAAATTCCTGTTTTACTTGGTAAAATTGTAACATTTAATACATTTTTTCTGTTTGCAATGTTTAAATTTTTTTAAATTCATATTTCAGAGGGCTTATTAAGAAAAAGGAAGGTGGTGACTATAAAGCAGAATTAGCACAAGATTTTAAAAGAGAGACAGTGCTAGTGGGAGAAGATGATGATCACCAGGAGCATTTTTCAGAAATGTGGAAAGAACAGAAGGTAATAAAATATTAGTTATGGTATATGTCAGATCATTTTTTCACATTGGGTTTCTTAGAAATCTTGCCCCTGACTTTTATAAAAGTAGTATATTTCTCCTTGCTTTCAGGATACAACAGTTATTTTCATATTGTGGAAATTGAAGGAAGGTTGTATAGTGCAAATTTAGGGCGGAATTTTCAAAAGGGCCTCAGGGAATAATTTAGTTTAGACACTTGAATGCAGGAAATTAACATTTCGGCTGAACATACTCTTATTGACTTCTAGGATCTTTTGGATTCAGCTATTTCATTTGAAAGTTCAGCTGAACTTCAAGAGATAAAGGAATGTATTTTCATACCACATCTTACTCTTGCTGCAGAAGTAACACCAATGTTTAAGTGTCCCATGTAAGTTGTAAGCACTTTAAAATGATAAAGCATCAGTCTTTGCAAAAGATTAACTTCTCTGCTTGTATAGAACAATGAGTGGGTAAGTATTGTTTAAATTTAACATGTTAGTATTAGTACATCATTTGATAGTAAAAAGCTTAAAAAATAGTTAATTTATGTTAAAACTGTGAAAAAGGGATTGGTTTAAAAATCAGAACCCTATAAATCTCTTATTAAAATAAAGTTTAAGGGCACCATCCTGCAAAGAAGAATGCATATATTTTACTTTATGGACTATGAAATCATTAGAACTACTCACTGTGTATACAGTTTAGCAGATGTGGGAATGGGGCCTAAATAATCTCCTTATTATGCAGTGAAAATTAATCTTTGGCAAAAAATACATGATTTATATTCCCTTGGCATTAACTACTATAATCAATATTGTGACTGGTAGCTATTGAAGTTGGATCATGGTTTGGTTTGATTATTTGGGGGTAATTAAATCCATATTCATTAATTTTTAGGCATGAACAGAAGAGAAGAACAAAAGTACAGAAGAAACAATACTTTATTAAAATATTTTACAATGAAAAACAAGTCTCTTGTACTTCCGTGGCTCACCTCCAGCTGGATTTTAAAGTGATTTTTCAGCAAACTTTTAATATTCAGTTATTAAATTGGCCTGAATCTCTTCGATTGGAGGTATAGTTATTTAATTTACTTCTGTGCTTTACTTCTATACCACATTTGAGACTTTCTATAACTCCCTTTAAAGTCCATGAAAAGACTTGTGTTAGAGGGTAATTATAGGTCAGTTAGCCTGCCATAAGTCCTGGGCAAAAAAAAAAGGAAAAACTATTGTAGAATTCAATCATTACCAAGCTAGAAATATACTAGATACCAGTCAGCATAAGCTTGTCAAAAATAGATTTAATTTATTGATGAGTTATTATGTAATACTTTAGACTCTGAGAGGCTTTATTGCTGTGCAGCATTCTACTGCTGATGTTTTCTGTGGTCATGTTTAAAGCATGCATTAAGCAGATTGAGACAGTGGTCAGCCTTGTTAGCCTGAAGTCAGGCAGAAGGTAGGGCAGGGTATCATGCACTAGCATAACTTGGGTGGAATAGGTAAGGAGATGGTGGGGAGGTGGAGTTGGAAAATAACTGTTGCTACTGCAGCCATGCGCTTGTGCCAGTGGCATGGTGGCAGCTGGAAATCACCGATGCCTCATGTAACACAGGTGCCTTGGGTGCCTGGCTGTATTATTAAACTTCTGGTGGTATTTTAGGCCTCCTCTACATGTGCAGGTAAAGGTGTGATGGGATCTAATGTATTATTCACACAGTCATGCCTCTTGCCAGACTACGCATGCTTGGCAGGAGACACTATTGTATGGGATTACTCATTAGATCCCAGCCTGCCATATTGCTGGGATCCTGGGCTCCCTCTGCACTGGCAAGAAGCAAGGTCCCATGTGTAGGAGCCTAAGGCTCAGTGGTTTCACACTGGGCCTGGTGCATCCTCTGCAGCTGATGGGGCACCCAGTTTCAGGGGAGACCTTGCTACGTGTGCAAATGAAAACTTGATGGCCACAAGCTATAAGGTTAATACACTTTTTTTTGGGTCCAACTTTATAGCTGGCTGGTGCTTTTTATACCATGATGGGTACTCTGCATGTGTAGCTTGTCTTAAGGTAATTGCACAAGTAACCAGGTAATTGCATGATACCTATAATATATAGAGGAGGCCTAAGATGCTCACTGGTTCAGAAAAGTATCACGCCTGCTAGCATTTGAAGTAGGTTTTTGCTTATGACAGCTCATGCCTCTCTGAATCAGTCAGTTTAAGGGGCCATCTTGCCGTATGTTCTGCGTTAAAAAGATTAAAAGCTAACTCTGGCACCTTCCACACATTACATTTAAGGCATGATTAAACAGGTAACCATGCCTTAAGTTGTGACCCAGCTACACATTCAGCCAATCAATGGCTGGGTGATAAAACAAGCAGTAAGCTACAAAACAATTCCACAAAAAATGGAATAACTTTGTAGGTTTTTCTAATCCTCCATTAGCATTAACTTTGTAAGTTTTTCTAATACACCATTAGCATTAATTGAATGTGGGGCCAAGTACTGTCCTATGGCTGGGAGCCCCATCAGCTAAGGGGCTCCCAGCCACAGGGGTGCACCATCTATTGCCAGCCCACAGCTGATAAGTCTTGCAGTGATGGCAGTGTTGTCAGCTGTGGTGCTTGCAGTGGGGAGCATGCTGCCCCCTTCCCCCCTGCCAAGCCACCTCAGTGGGACTCACAGAGAGGGCAGCAGCAAAAGCGCTTTATCCCCTTGCACCAGTGATAAGGTGTAATAGGATCTAATGCACAATCCCACAATTGCACCTCCTGTCATGCACATATGGCATGGTAGGAGGCATGATTGTGTAGACTGTACAGTAGATCTTACTGTGCCTTTATCTGAATGTGTAGAATGGCCCTTAATAACAGACCTCAAAAAGTAATTATCAGTGGAGAATTGTAACCGGAGAATTAGCATCAACTGGGGCTGTTTTTAGTTAAATCAGTACTAGGCCAAGTGCTGTTTAGTATTTATTAATGATTTGCAAGTAGACTTGAAATAACCTTGTTGTCTATAATTTTTATAAGTAAAGATTGACAGAATAGCAAATAATGATAAAGAGAGGGCATTTGTACAGATTGTGTATTTCTTTGTGGCTTGAGACCGTTCATATAAAATGTTTTATCTTTTTGAGTGATTGTTATCAGCATGTACAGCCTAACTGTGGAAACTATGTGCCTCAAGCAATAACTATAGAGTGCATCCTTCCTTGTGCCTCTTGCCAATAGAAGAAAAGAACAGTGAATACATCCTCCTTCTCAGTTTCTCTCAGCTGCCTTGGCTAGGGACAGAATGCTTTTGTCAGTTTGTGCTTATGTCCTACAAATCCATTCAAAGCCTTTCTTGAAAGAAAGAAGCACTTCTTCTTCTTATCATTATCATCATAATTACTGTTCTTCCTGTTACTACAGCTATCTTTAAAAAAATTAAAAAGGAAAAACAGAGGACCGCATTTCGTTATTGTTTCTTTTGGTTGTGGTTGGCAGCCTTTGCCTCTCCTATTTTGTGTGGTATTTGTCATTTTAGGTTCTGCTTTCTCCCTTAGCTCTCTTCCTAGTTCTTTCCCTTTTCTTTAGGCAGAGGAATTAAGAGTATTGAAGTACCATCAGGAGAGAAGATACTGTCACTAAAGGCTCTAATCATGGCACAGTGAAATCTTAACAGTAAACAATGGTTGGAAGTTAAAGCCAGTCAAAATCAAATTATGAATTAGACACAGTTTTTAGCAGGGGCATGATTAATTGTTGGAACACTGCAAAAGAAAGTGTTGGATTTTCCATCTGTTGATATGGTCAAATCAAGACTGTGGATGTGTGTTGGGGAGAGAGATTTTATCCAGATACAAAGTATTGTTCTTAATATACAGGGGTAGCCAGGTTAAATTGTATAGCCAGTGTGCCAGAGTAGAGGAATTAAGTGTAGGTAGAAGAATTTAGATAAAGTAAAGGATCCTAAACTTTATGAATTGATGGCTTTAATGATCAGGCACTTACTGTATTCTTTTAAGTTTTTAGTTCATCTTTGTATAAATAGCATACAAAAATACTTCAACAGATTTTCAAAGTGGTTATCTAAAGTATGCCTGTAATTATGTACATGCAATCTGTGCATGTACATATGTGCAAGCAGCTTACAATTTGAAATAAATATTGGCTCACTGGATAGGGTGACAGGTCTGGTACTGGGAAAATCCAGGTTTAATTCCCTCGAGTACCATATATTATTTGTTTGCTTTGGGCATAAGATATTTAGATCTGCATGCAGAAAGCTATTATGTATCCATGGGAGTTGGACTTTAAAATACCTTTGTGGTCTGGACATTAGTCATTCTGGGTATTCCTGCAGAGCACAAAGCAGTGCCAGGTTGGGGTAGCTCAGGTGTCAGAAGCAAAATAGTCATATTAACACAAATCTCTGTCTAAGCTAATCTGCTTTTTAGCAAGTTTAATTAAACCCAGTAGAGATTTGTGCTCAGTTAATATTTTTGGTTGTACATGATTTGTGCTCAGTTAACTTTTTTTGCAAAATCAATTAGACTAGACAAATCACAGTTATATTGGTTCTGGTACCCAAGCTAGATTCTTCAGAACTAGATCAGGTATCTCTGCATCACTGCATTATGCTGTATAGGTATACCCACTGTTTCTTAGGCCCCTTCTACATGTTACAGTTATTGCACAATTAGCTGGTTAATTGTGCAATTACCTTAAAACTAGCTACACATTCAGAGAAGCTATCATACCATAAAAAGCTCCAACAAGCTATAAAGTTAGACCTCAAAAATATGTACAAACTTTATAGCTGGTTGCTATCAAACTTTAATTTTCACATGTAGTCGGGTCTCGCCTGTGGCTGTGAGTTTTGTCACCATATGTGGCATGGCAATGATTTGTGTGGATCTTGCATTAGATCCCATTGTGCCTTTACCTGCACGTGTAGAGGGTGCTTTAGTTTTTATAGGAGGGATAATAGTAATTCATTACCTCAGAGAGGTTTATAAGAATATCTGTGACAATGGCTGTGCTGAATTTGGATATGTAATGAAAAACTGGATCTGTTTGCATGATCTTTCTGTGTAATATTCATTTGTTTTTATTTATTGTACCTTCTTGAAGTGTCAGTTTCTTCCTTGAACTTCTTCCAGAATCTGTTTGCTTGGTCTTTTCCTTTACTAACTCAACTTTTTAAATCGAAGCAGTCTTTTTTATTTTTAGATTTATGAATCTGCTAAAAGAAAAACGTTTTTGGCTAAAATATACTTACCCATTCCTGACAATATTGTACTTCAAAGAGAAGATGTATTGGAACAGGTGGAGTTTAGCTGTGATCAGCAAGTTGAATCTGTAAATGGAGAAGTGGGAAGCAGTAAGTTACTTATGGTAGCATGATTTGAAGTGGGCTTGGTGGTCTTCTGGTAACATCATGCTCTCTTATGTAGGGAATTAAAATTTAAAATTATTTGAGCATGTCTACACTGTAATCCAAAAGTGTAATTTGGATCTGCATAGAGATTAGCTGCATTAGCCTTAAACGAGCTACCCTAGGATAATGATAGCTGTCTAGCCATGACAACATTGAGCTCAGTGTAGGATAGCTTTACAAGAGGTTACCCAGGATCCTAGGTTTGTTTTACAGCCTAAGTTAAACCTTGTGTTGCACTGGTTATCTGTATCCAAGCTAGCTGCTTTAAACCCAGTTTGGATAATTTTACACAAACTGTGGTCCTGACTTTGAATTGTAGGGTAGACTTACTCTTTGAATAATGCTTCAATAAGAGTTGATAAACTGCTCAGGAAGCACCAACACTTGTTGGTTCTTCCTTATTTTGAGAAGCAAGATGATGATATTTAACTATCCAGAATTTTATTGCCCTTCTCTTCTGCTGTTCCTGTTTGAGTCTTGTCTCATCCAGGACAAACATAGGATGACCATCATGTCTGTTTAAGTTAAAGGATGATATTGGCACAAGAACAAATGGGTGTGAACTCACTTTTAGTAAACTAAGCCTGGATGTTAGAAGGTTTTTAATCATCCAAGGAGTGTGGTTTTGGAACAGCTTAATAGGCATGCTAGGAGCAAAGACTGAACTGGTCTGAAAATGGAAATTTTATTAAAGTTATTTGTTGGGTTTTGTAGGGGTTTGAAGTTATTGAGATTTCTTCCAGACCTATATTCCTATAAAAGAAGCTGATCTCAGAGCAGTGAAACAGTATCTGAAGCTATTTTCAGGAATTGTGAAAGACAAAACCAGTCTGCTCAGATTCTCTAAATGGTGGGTAGAAGATCTGTGAAGGCCAAGGCTCTCTCTGAAGCAACAGCAGTGAAAGATGAATCAGCACTTACACCTCACCTGGTGGGAAGAGATTGTTTCTGACTATCCTTGGATGTTGAGGGAAGAGGTGCTTTAAGATTTTTACAAAAAAGGGATTTTAATAACCCTTCATGCCATTTCCCTGGCTCATAAAGTACCCAAGTACTTCTTATTTACTAAATCTTTTCAGAAGGCTTTCAATTTTTCTGAGATTTCCTAAAAAAGAATGTTCATGTTTTTGTGTCCAGTTATTCTTTTCTTAAAGAAGAAGAAAAAAGTGTCTTCTGATGCAGAATTTGAACGTGAAATCAAGGAACACTTAAGCAATGTAGCTAAAGGATTGGGAATAGGGTCGCCCCCCTCCCCAAGGAATCTCCCTTCAGTCTCTGATCTGCTGGAGTGAGGAACAGACTGCTGCACTTCTATTGGCACTGTCAGGAACTTTTTTGCTAGATCTGCTTAAAGACTGTGCACACTCCCAGAAAATATGGGTGATGAGTGTTTTCCTCCTCTAGTCCTCAATTCATGAAAGCATCCTCCTCATTTAGGAAATAACTTAAGCAAATGCAATCTTGACTTGGGAATGTAAAGCACCATCCTGGGGAATGTAAAATACTTTTTAATTAAGATGGGCAAGCCTTTAACAGTGCATGACAGGGTTGCAGATTGTGTGTGGGGGCATCTGTTTTGCTGAAGGTCACAGCTTTCCAAAATTTGGAAAATGTTGAACTAATAAAACTTTTTAAATGTAACAGCTCTTGGATTTGTACTTCCTTTCAAAAACTTTAAATTGACAGATGTACCATTTCTTCTCAATGAAAATGAAGAACTGTATCCTGTGATGTCTGGAAAACTAATGTATTCCTTATCCTGGACAGCTGATGAAGGAAATATTCCCTTAGCATCTATACTTCAGCCAATAAACTCTGCTTCTTACAGGTAATAATAAAACTTAGATATCTAGAAGACGGTCAGAAAAGAAATAAAATTAAAATTCACCAATTAATGCTCAATGGTTTTATTGTAGAGTACCGAGAAATACAGATGAAGAAATAGCTACTGGAATTTTGTGGTTCACTGACACACAGAAATTTACTGAATGGGCCAAGAAAGTCAAGACTGATCCCAATGATCCTGAATATTCAAATTTGATGGACTTCATTTTGGTAACATTTAGCAGGTTTTAGTATTAGCAAGTTGATCTTGTAGAACAACTGTGTATCATCTTAATTGTATTAGAGGAATTCTAAATACTGACTACTAATACATTTTCCCATGAAATCTTTGGTTCCAGGATTATGAATAACATAGGACTGAATTATGAGATTAATTCTGATCAAAATTTTTTAAAATGTCAAAATACACAAGAGAAAATCTTGAGTTGATGTAGTACATTAAGCCCCAAGATAGAATTGTAGACTCCTAATTCTAATTTTAATTTCTGTTTTAATTTCTAATATTATCTGAGTCAGAGACAATCCTTCTCTTTCTTTTCTTTTAACCTCCCCTTCTTATCTTCTTTTTCCTTTCATTAATTTATATCTCTTGTTTAGGAACCATTCTGGTCATTCTTCCTTTTGGTGTAATTCATGACATTTTGAATTACTGCTTGATTGATATATTGCAGTCATCTTATACCATAAACTATATTTATTTTTCTGTTTAAGTCTCTGTCATTGCAGTCATTATTTAGACATGAGAAAATATGTGGATGAGGCAAAATTCAGTGATGGGGATCCCTTTCCCTTTCATCATCCAGTCTTTGGATCTTGGGAATTTAAGAAAAAGGTAACTTTGATTGCTTACAGATGTTAAAAAATATATATTTTTTAAAAATGGCACTTAACTCATGCTTCACTGCCACAGGCCACATTTAAACTCTGCGCACTTCCGCACTGAGCCCAGTGCATGACCAGAAGAAGCGGTGCGTTAGTTGGACCTGGCTCGCCCAATGTCTGTATAGATTGGGTGCTTTTAGTGGGGCTTTTTTGGCACTTATTTAATAGCTGATTGAATCTGTTTTAGATAAAAGTGCCAAAAAGGCCACTGAAGTGCCTGATTATACAGATGTTGCAGAGCCAGGTTGAACTAAAACTCTGCTTCTTCCAGTAAAATGTGGTATTCTTTTGTTTTTTGGGGTTTTTTTTATGTCTGTAAGCAGCCTTTTGCCTGGAGATGTAATTAGCTGTGTTAGTCAGAAGTGGGGAGGCAGGATGGCTATTGGAGTTATGCTACTTTTGAAAGACTACCAGATTCCAGAGAGGGGCTCTGTATGACTCTTGTTTTCCACAAGGGTAACAAGTTACAAAATGTAAGATTTGCTCTCCAGCTTTTGGACCAGTGTACAAGAGTATGACACTGTACACAGGAGAGCCAGGTTTAATGACCCCCTTCCAGTCATGTGTCATTCATCAAGCCAGCAGGTGATGCTGAACACATCCAATGCTGGGGGGGAGGGGGGGTGGCGGGGCATGGGACGCAGGTGTGGCAGCTCTGGGAGTGGAGGCTATGCCCTGCTGCCACTTGCCC